CAACACTAAGATTACTAATCTTTAGCAAGTGTCTCATTTGATTGAAATATTGCTTCCGACCAGGAATAGCGTCATTAATCAAAAATATAGTGACCTGCCAGTGTCACAAATTAGGTACATGCTCATCTGACCATAATTAAATGCCTTAACCTAAAGAATGCGGAGCCGGAGGCAGAAGGGGTTCACGTACAGTGCCCCCCACTTTTTAGGTATCCCCAAACTTCCCCCTTTTAAATAGAAAAAGTGCCCCCTTTTACATCAGTGCCCCTTTTTATTTATGATGTTGTCCATTTTACATTCTTGGCTTTTACCACCTCTGATAATTAAGTGCCCCCTTCACCTATTTTAACTACCCGTATTCAAATCTGAGAGATGCTCATTTTACTTTATAGGGATCCGGTAACTCATTTTCTCAGATTCTGATACAAAATCCTGGATTTAGCTTATGATAATAATAAACAATTAGGTCAGTCAGGAACCCCATGATTATCAAGATATTTAGGATTGGAAATCGAAACCAAATTTTGCTTTTTCATAACACTACAGTCTATTGGGGAAAACGAGTATGGTAAAACCGTCACTCAAATATTTTTACTTTTTTAGCCACTTCTTGATCATTTTAAAACGCGATTTAAAAAAAAAAAAAATAGGGCTTCAATATTACACCATATCACAGACACTGATAACACGAAGGGCCGTGCATATCTGTATTGAAATATTTGTTTTTCAAACTTGCTAAGCTCCACCCCAAAAACCTCACCAGGAATTAGACAAAGGCAATGATGATGTATTGTACATAATGAGGCATGCAATTCAATTCTATTATGAACGAGTGCTAAGCTGGGGGAAATTACATACCATTGTCTATTCTAGAATGTTAGTTTAGTCTGACATTTCTTTTTTTTAATTTTATATATATATATATATATCTGGCTTTCCCGCCAAAATATTTGAATGAATTGTAAAAATTATGTGGATTGAGATTTTCATACTTTATTTGATTCATGGGGTTTATTGGATTCTCTGTTCTTGTCTCTTTCTGGCTCTCTTTCTTTCTCGTTCTCTCTCTCTCTTTCTCTCTCTCTCTCTCTCTCCCCCCTTCTCATTTGGACTGAAAAAGTATTAAATATGATTATATTTGATGGATAAAACAGAATTGCTCTCCTTCGTGTACTTCGTATAATACTTTACTTTGTTTACAAGTTCATTGTAAGGCCATTGTATCGATCAATTAAAAAAGAATAGCAAAAAATGTGTACTTTGAGCGACATAAAAATGGGTTATCATCATTCTTTTTTTATTTAAGTTTTTTTTTTTTAAATATATAACAAATCCCACCGACTTCAACCCCACACCCCCTCCCCCCCCCCCCCCCCCCCTTTAGCGACGCACCTGAATGTAGGGTGGTCTGAGCGGGTAGGCACAGGGCGTGGTTCTAAACTTACAGAGACACTTCGATGAAGACATCCTTATTTCATGATTGCGTGTGTTGAACTGCCCTGGGCTTTACAGCTTTAAACCTCCAGGGTTTATTTTGCATATATAGGTATTTATCAAATATCATAGGTAGCAAATAAAGGATGACTAACAGAGGAATGAAAACAAACAGATAGGAGAGGATGACCAAGCATAATGATGTGCACCAATCTATAATGATAATGATAACCGAGCCCGGCCAAAATATGGGGGGGGGGGGGGGGGGGGGGGGGGGGGGGCTCAATGATAACCGAGCCCTCAAAAAATATCGGGGGGCTCCGTGATGTTATCCAAGCCCCACAAAAAACAATTGGGGGGCTGATGATATCTGAGCCCCACCAAAATATGGGGGGGGGGGCGCTCAATGATATCAGAGTCCCGCCAAAATATTTGGGGGTTTCAATGATATCCGAGATCCACCAAATATATTTGGGGGGGGGGGGGGTCAATGATATGCGAGATCCGATGTCTGAGCCCCATGATAATGATATCTATAAGCCCCCCCCCCCGGTTCCTAAGCCTATGTACAGGTCAATGAAGTCTACTTTTTGAAACTTAAAGGGATTGGGTAACTTTGTCTCAAAGGTTCTGAAACAAAATCCTGGAATGATAGTTAGCACTAGTTCTGACCGGAAAACGACCCAAATATCGGATTATGGCAAGCTGCCCCAGGGCCTTGTCCTATATACGGATCAGGGAAAAAAATACTTTAAAAATTTCGGAGGCTACTTTTATGACTTTCGGGGGCTCTTTTTGGCATGTCGGGGGCTAATTCACCCCGAGCCCCCGTGTATTTTCCCCCCTGATACGGATAAGTGAGTGCCACTTCTAACTTGTGTTTTTAGCCCTTCTTTCTTTACTTTTTCCTTTTGTTTCTTTTTCTTTCCTTTCCTTTTTTTTTTTATTCAAAGAGGGGGACCCGCCCTCTCCCCCCCCCCCCCGTATATCCGCGCCTGAGTGACACCCACATAAACTAACCTTATTTATTTCCGAACAAAACAAATGTAGAAAGCCCCTCGACACCATAGGTGTAAGTATTCAGCTAGTTGCTACCCCCCCCCCCCCCGCTCCACCAAAATAAACTTCTAGTTTGATACCAGTGATTTACAGATGTTGCTGAAATGGCATAATTTCCGGGATTTTTCCTCACTTTTTAGTAAATTATACTTTTTATGCGTTTGTTGGAGAATGACAAATATAAACAAAAATCCAGTCAGGCAAGAAATGTGCTTATTTACTATTTAGAGGCCTACATGTCAGATCCTTGGGGGCTCAAGCCCCCCCCCCCCCTCCCCCCCCCCCCCCCCCCCCCCCCCCCCCCCCAGCCCCCCACACTTTTGAAAAAGTGTATTAAAGAGAATTAAATAGAAAGAAATAGAAAAGAAAGTATGCTCATGTGACCGTAATTAAATGCCCATACCCCCTGAGCTTCCGGGGGCTCTGCCCCCTGGACCCTACCTTGGACTCTAAGGCTTGTCCCTGGATGCTCATCTGACATTCATTTTAATGCCTAAAACCCTGCGCTTCCTGGGACTCCGCCCCTTGGACCATACCTGCCAGTGTCATGAATAAGGTATTAAAATATGCTCATCTGACCGTAATTAAATGCCCCTAGCCCCTGAGCACCCGCCACTTTGTGCTACGCTCTACCTTATCTTAAATACTCTAGCTTCCCCCACTCACTTTCAACCCCATTTTTAATCACTTTTATTTCCCATTTAACTCCTTCATTAAACATCGAAAATACTTGAGGCGGGACCTGGACCACGAGTATATACTAGTAGTGAGTTGGTTGAAGAACGAATCCACGTACAAAAGTATAATCGAATACAACAGTTGTGGGGCCGATATCACGAGTATGCCTTCATAGAATAAAGGTTTTAAAGAAAATATACACTTCTACTTTCAAAAGGACTGGCCTATTTGCTTTGTTTTTTGTTTTTGGGGGGGTGGGGGGGGGGGGGGGTACAAATTTTTAAATTTTCGACGACCCCCCCCCCCAAAAAAAAAGAAATGTGCTCACTACCCCCCCCCCCCCCCCCCCCCACTGAGCGACTTTTCGGCCGGCGCGATTTTCAAATTTTCGGGAGCAAAAAAAAAAAAAGGTTGGGCCCCCTCCCCTATAATCCTGGATCCGCGCCTGGGTGCGGGTTACATTCTACGCGGTCACACTAGAGCTAAAGCTATAGGGTAATAAAATTCAAAGCACTTTGGAAGCGCATAGAGATGTTATTTCATAACGTATTATGCGCTATACAAGAACTGAACTATTATTTTTCTTATTATTCTTATCAACATTATTTATTGTAAATGAAACTGACAATGTGTAGCGTGAAATAAACCTAACTGAAATAAGAAGGAGTCGTAAAACCAATAAGATGTGCAATAGGCGAACAAAGACCGGGGCGCGGGGGGGGGGGGGGGGGGGGGTGGGGGTGCTGATGCGTATTTTGCCAGCGAATAAACGTTCAATATGGTTGTTCAAGCGAGAGAAGCAAGTGAGCAAAACTTTGATACTCTATATAGTGCACAATGTAAACTGTCATCAAAATATACGAAGAAGGTAAAATCAAGTTGTCGAGTCCGATTATAAGGTGTCGATTGTCGAAATAATTGGCGCTGTTGCCCGGATATGGGTAATTTCATTTTAGTTTCGGGGGAGGGTTGTAAGTGCCTGGCCCTAGCTCATGAACCCCTCCTCGTTTGCCTATATATTTACAGCAAAGTCTGATTGAATACGCATACTTTCAAGTTTGGATTCAAAGCCAGTTTGATTTCGGTTACATAAATATTTAGTATATGATTTTTGCACGAAAGTATATGAGAAATTGACCCGTTTAATTCCTTTCATAGAGTGATTGAGAAAAAAAAAGGATATTATGTTATCGACCCATCCTTGGAGACTGATTATCCGTAGTGAAACGGAAAGAGGACATAACATTGGAATAAACATAATAACCGTCCGATTAATTAGATCAAGCGAAAGCTAGGGGGATGTTTAAAAAAGGATGCTAGTGCTACGAGGGTTATACAAAAGGGAAATAAAGTGGAACAAACTTTACTATATCCAGATGGGAGAGACAGAGATGGAAGATCATTAACCAAGGTCTCCTCGTCTTTCTTATTCTACACTATGGTTATATTTTATTATTATTTGTTACATGTGAATTCTGGAAGACAAATAAACTTGAGATGAGTTAATAATAATAATAATAATATTCAGTTTTTATATAGCGCTTAATACATCTCGGACGTCTCTAAGCGCTGTACAGCATGGGCGTAAATCTGTAATTGATACCTATTGTTCAGGGTGGGGGTGATCTATTCATTCATTCAATATGTATTACGTAAGGATTGACGCCCATGCTGTACATATATATTGAGTTGAGTTGAGATAGAGAACAATTCAAAATACATATACAAGAGAGAAAACGGGAAATACGGGGTGCCATAACAATGAAATAAGAGCTACCCATAAAAATATCTCTATGGAGCTACCATAACTTACTTATAACTAAAGAGGGCGATAATCAATTTGCGACAGCTGTATGGATTATTAGCAGGGAAAAAAAAATCTTGAACCCCATCTCCATGTATTTCTTCTAACATTACAATCAAGACGAAATGGTGCTCCAAGAGAAAACAGAAGGGCTCGACAATTTCCTTCAGCTTCTTGAAAAGCATAAAGAAAAGAAGACAATTATTGCTCTATTCTGCGGAGGGAAGAACAGTAGTGACGGAGTAAGCTGGTGTCCCGATTGTGTTTCTGGTATGTAAGCATTGTCCCTTGTGTTCATTTTGATGTTGGGGTTACTGAAAAAAAAAGCCTTTCCTCATTAATTAACTATTCTCTTTACACAAAACTGGTGCATGTATCAATTTCTCTAATGCATCTTTCTCTTATATCTTATGCATCTTTCTCTTCTCAAAATTTTTATTTTCAATTTTAGAGGCGCGTGATACCTAGCCTTAAGGGCTCTCTCGAAATGTTTTTTTAATGATATTATTCGAGAGAGCCTTAACTTGCTCCCATACCCCTGCACGGAGAGGCATGTAAACAAAACTCAAAAGTGGTCCAAAATCACACTTTCGCGCACCCGACCAATATTGGACAGTGGCTTTGATAAATTTTGTCGTAGTTTTGGTCTTAATTACCGCCTTAATTTCAAAATCGGATCTGAAAATAACAAAATAAGAGCAATTTTCTTACCAGACCGATACAGCTCAGCTCCCTTTTCACGTGTACCGTGTGAATTCACGATGTCTACACAATGGTGATGACCTCTGACTGGCACTTTGTAAATGTGCTGCTTCCGTATAATGCGCTGAATAACACTCATACAGCGCATTATACGGAAGCAGCACAATTTACCCACAATTACGGAAGTGCCCCCAACTGAGCCAGATATTTTTCACATTCACGGGGGCAAACATATTTTTCTGTTCTCTCACTACCCATGTATAATTTCTCCCACGGCCTCGGCAGCTATTTATTTCCATACATTAAAATTATCCTAAGTACTGAATTTTTATTCATTCGCAGACAATTAAAGCTCAAAATTGTTATTAAAATTCTTGTCTCACATGCAACATTGAACTACAAAATAATTTGAAAAAGCTAGGTCATTTTTTTGGAAAAAATCAGTCACTTTAAATTGAAACTGTAATAGCAGTTATTCACTTGAATGCTCACACTATTTTCTTCCATTTTTTAAGTCATTCTATTTGCTGCATATAACTACACCTTGGGTTATACTATATATGACGGTGGCGACTCCTTATTTTAAAGTTTTCTAAAGCTCTTCAAGTCTAAACGAAAATTGATATCATTAACATAACTTTTTGAAAATAAAATTTTGACTTTTCTTCTTTATCTTTTTCTCCTATTTTCCTTCTCTTTCCTTTTTAAACATAACTTGTTTTGATTATAAATTAATGCTTGAATTGAAATTAAAGAATAAAATGCTTGAAGGTCAAAATTGTCAAATTAATTTTACGGGTGTTAGTGGTTACTTATTTTGTTATAATAACCATGATCAACATAAAACTATAAAAATGTTTTGAAACTAAGTTATAGATATAGGCCTGTTATCCACAAATGATATATTTTCACTGAAAAGCTTAACGGGCACTATTTTAAATGAAACTACCAGAGAAAGACTTGAAACTGCGCTCGGTCGGAGCAATAACAGCAAATCCCTCTGTTTATCTGCCTTTAGCGGAACCGATCATTGAAAAAGGTCTAGCAGCAGCAGCACCAGAGGATGCCGTCTTCATCTATTGCTCTGTAGGAGACAGAACAAGGTAACTAGCTCATTAATTATTAATATCTTGAACTGTTGCCTAGCCATAAAAATATTTAAATTATGGATGTGTAATTACTCCACACTCTCTGCGTGCAATTTGCAGATCTATGCATAACTCTTTGTGTATATGGCAGGGACTTTTGCAAAAATGATCTGCAATATCCAAACATTGTGGCTGTTTTGGGACACACATCATCCATGAATTGATTGTGCTTTGAAGTTTACAAATCAGTAATGTAGATTTTTTTTTTAATGAACATGCAGTGCTCCCTTTTAATTTGTATGAATTGTAAAAAAATATTTTTGATTTTACTTTCTGCCAATTTAGCTGGAAGGACCCAAACAATGCTTATCGCACACATCCTAAACTGCAACTAAAAGGTGTTCCTACTTTACTGCAATGGGACACGGTGAGTATTTGAATAAATAAATTCTAAGTTTCTAATAAGTTTTTACCATCATGTCAAGGCTAGAGATCAAATCCTCTGTTTGGAGCTAGAAGGGCAATGACCCATACCATTTATACATACTGGTACATGTAGTTCATGCATTTCTGGCTCGATCCAACAGACACGATTATCAACATTACATTAAATGATGTAATATATCAGATCTTGATTTTGTTTGATGCTAGCATGAAAGTATGATAACATACATGTACATGAAATGCTAATAAGGAGACCTAAAGGAATCATTAATACAGTCATATTTTAGTAATTAGAATGGTCTACTTTCCTTCTTGTTACGTTTGTTGGAGTGATCTAGTCGGTTTCTATTTTCTTTTATTTATTTATTGAGATTTTTTGAGATTTTTTTAAATATTGACAATACATTTATGTTTTTCAAAGTTAATGAGGAGTAGCAATCATAGTTTCAATATGAAGGCAGAATGAGTGAACTAATATTTCTGCATCATTTTCTCTTGCTTTTGCCAATCCCACCCATGCTTCTGAAATCTTCTGTCTCTATCTCTGTCCCTCTCTCTGTCTCTCTTTCTTTTTCTCTGTCTGTCTGTCTTTCTGTCTCACTCTCTCTGTTAACTGTCTCTATTTCCTTCATTATTTCATCGCCTTTTGTTATCTTGCCCTTCATTGTTCCTTTTAAATTTCCCTCGTCTTTTATTTCATTTTTCTGTTATTCGCTTTTCATTCTCTCCTTCTCTTTATTTATCTTTCTATCACACTATCTTTGTCCTACTCTGTGGTTGCCTCTTTCTCTCCTCCCTTTCTCTCCCGTTCACACATACACTCGCACAATCACTAACCTACCCACATTATCCTTTTTTATTTTATATTTCTATCCGTCTGTCTTCCTCTGATACACCATTGCCTGTGTCAGCCAAAGAAACTAGGCGAGAAAGACTGTTCCAACGCTGATCTGGTCCAGATGTTCTTCGAAGAAGACTGATCAAGATAGATTCTCTAGGCCCAGGAAATGGAATCAACTAGTAAAATCAACATATTGCCTTCAGATTTGTGCATACCTGAAGTACTTGGTTCGCTCTTATATGACAGTCTAATTGTTGAACACTTTGGCAACAGTATGACAACAACAAAAAAAATCACAGTTTTTGCTGTATACTTTTCAATAGATGTCCACTCATTTATTGTCAGTTTAGGCACATGTCTTTTGAATACCGGTAGAGAAATATATGGGTGTTGCCAATTTGAAGACGAAATGTGGAGAAGATCTTTAAATTTCAAGAAAGTCCCAGGTAATTACTTTGATAAAAGACTAAACCTCATAAACTTTGGGTACCGGTATGTAGATTCAATTTCTAACACTTCAAATTCAGACAATTTGTACTGCTGGTACTGTACAAGTCCGACAGAAACTTTTGCGATCCTGAAATATTTGTGAAAATCAAGAGTGGTTCAGATTCACAAAGTTTCATGCTGCTAATTAATTGAAGCACAAATGATGGAACACTAGATGTTTGTATTTTTTAAAAGGTTCTTAAATATAATATAAATGGCCATCCTTAACAATTTGAGAAAGTTTTATGACATTTAATTCTCTGATTTTACAGTACAAATATAACGGAAATCTTGGTTAAAAACTTAAAATGAAGCACAGTGGTGAAGCATTGGTTTTTAAACTGGGAGCTTCCAGATTTTAAAAACAAGTGCCGTTTGGTCCAGAATCAGCCTCCAAATACGAATTGGACTCAAAGCCACACAGGTCAATTGGTTGTTTATCTACTTGCACAATTTGCACATTCTTGCATGCTTACCAGTCAAATACAAACGGTCAGTCAATCACTCATTACCCCGTAGCAGCAAAGTATTAAGTTTGCTCTTTTACGCATCAAGGTGTTTTTTTTCTTCCTGCTAGTTGATGATTTAATAGAAAGTGAAAAGAATATGCCATGATATATTTTGGCTGAGAAATGTGTGTAATCAAAGTTTAAATTGCAGTTTTTCATTCAGCTTATTGCCATGATAAACATACAATTGCTTCCTTTCCTTTTATTTCAGGTATTATAGAATATTTTACTTGTTGTAATGGTATAGTTTTCTACTGTTATGAATAACTGGATACAGCTATTATTGCCTTCTTTAATTATATCGCTATGTAAAAATACTACACATTTACTAAAATATTATTGTTAAGGGAAGCTGTTAGAAAAACAAATAGAAAATGACATGTGAGTGAAAATGAATTATTACCCAATTTGTGAAAAGAAAAAAAATGCATGGAAAAGTGTGATCCCTAGTAATATGTTCCAATATATTTTTTAAAGGTAATTACAATATCACACAGTACTGACTTATCATGTATATTAATCTGATTCTTTTGCTAGCTAATTTCTGTTACAGAACCAGAGTTGATGATTTTTCTCAGAGGTATAGATGTAAATACAGGTTTAAAACTTGTTGGCAACTACTCAACAACTGATTTTTGTTTGTTTGTTGTTTTTGTTATTGTCAGACATTCCACAAAACTCTGAATGTCTCTTGTGGGAAGATACAAGCTTTTTTTTGTAAAGTCCTTGTATATATTTCAATTATATTGCATTTAAATTTTTTACATGACAGTCAAGTATTGTATGTTATCCAAAAAAGGAAAATATAAAGAATATAGAAAATATTTCACTTCATGCTGTTTTGTGTAACCGTATACTCTCCTGCAACATATACACCATCATACAGTCAAGGATATGAGGTTTATGAACTTTTATAAAAAATGTTTCATCATTATCAATATTGTTTTTGTTGTTGTTGTGGTAGTGATGGTGGTGATCGAAGTGTAGAGTTGCCTTTGGATAAGATATATGTATGTTTTCTTCATAATGAGAAAGAGGTAGGGGGAAGGGAGAGAGAGAGAGAGAGAGAGAGAGAGGGAGGGGGTATTTGAGAGAGATAGATATGGAGTGTTTTAGAGCGAGAGATGGAGAGAGATAGGGGGTAAATCAGAGAGAGAGAGAGAGAGAGAGAGAGCAGTAACAAAACCCTCTGCAGAGAGAGGGAGAAAGGGGTGGAGATGGTATTTGAGAGAGATAGATATTGAGTGTCTTACTTAGAGCAAGAGAGGGAGAGAGAGAGATATGGGGGGGGGGGGGGGGGAGGATCAGATAGATAGAGAGAGAGAGAGAGAGAGAGAGAGAGAGAAAACCCTCTGCAGAGCGAGAGAGAGAGAGAGAGAGTGAGGGGTGGAGATGGTATTTGAGAGAGATAGGTATTGTATCTTAGAGCAAGAGAAAAAGAGAGAGATGGGGGGGGGGGTCAGAAATATATAGAGAGAGAGGAGTAACAAACCATCGGCTCTCTTATACTCAATTTGTTTTTATAATTTCCATTTGTTTTCACAGTTGGAGCCATGCCCGTCTCAGCTCCTTGCATCTGCCAAAGAGTTTGACAGATTCATTTCTATTAGGCAATATCTAATAATATTTAGAAGAGGGTGAGACCTTGAGTCGGACACTGTTAAAAAACATTTCTTACCTTGATTTGTCAAATGAAAGACACCTTAGCTAGATAGAGATCGGTCATAGAGATATATAACTATGAGATCGGTCGTTATTTGGTCTTCTAAGTTCAACGTGGACATTCTTTAGCCATGGAGACTGTACACAAATCAACGGATAGTAGCAGCTCAAATTGATATTGATTGGGATTGATAGTAACATCTGATATTTTTATATGACCATTGTTTAGAAGCAGGTGAGGTCAATGAATTATTACTTGTTTGTGTTTATTTCACTGTATCAAAATTACGTGCCTTCCGATGGGTTATTTTATTCTCGACAGCGAAATTCAGTCCCACCTGTGCATATTCATGTGATTTACAAGTCTAGGATAGTAGCAGCTCAAATTGATATTGATTGGGATTGATAGTAACATCTGATATTTTTATATGACCATTGTTTAGAAGCAGGTGAGGTCAATGAATTATTATTTGTTTGTGTTTATTTCACTGTATCAAAATTACGTGCCTTCCGATGGGTTATTTTATTCTCGACAGCGAAATTCAGTCCCACCTGTGCATATTCATGTGATTTACTTCAGTCTTGAGACGCAGACATGACGCGACGAGTACGCGTACGAGCGCTGTGCGCTGTACATGTAGCCTCTATGTCAACGACGTACGACTTGAAAAGTGCCAAGTCGAGATCTAGCTGCATTTATTAAACAAGGCAAAACTCTTCTACCTAGAGCTATCTTGATTCTTAGTTCTACATCTTCTAAAAATTAAGTCTTTTAGAAAATTACGATAACAAATGTAGATCTAGACTAGGGGGCGCTACTGCAGTTCCGTATCCATTTTTTTAGCAGTTTCATATCAATTCTTAGCAAAGGAATTTTAGCCCAATTTTTTACTAATTTTAATTATAATCATATATTGCATTTTCCACCTGAATTTGGATCACATCCAACATCGGGAAGCACTCCAGCAAAGCATAGAGAGTCAATGCTATTGCGTATTGACCTCTAGCACTGCATACATGCTGTGAGGCAGGGACCTAGAAGTCTATACCCAAATACACACACCACACAATATCGCATAGACTGTACACAATCATGTCGATGCAGCTGTAAGCAAAGTTTGACACTAGACTTACAATTTTAATTTTTTAATTATTCTTTTTAACATCAGTAAGTTGAAAAAAATGTATTTTACTGCTATTTAGGTGTCATCAATTGTCACTAAAGTACCGATTTTGAGTGAAATCAGTTGAGTTTTGTACAGTGGTGTTTGAAATGTTGAGAATCGAAAGCACAGGTTTTACTACACAGCCAGGATAGTGATGCTCCTATGTGTGTCGGGAAGCCTCCGTTTAGGGTTTCGTTGTCGACGTCGCTCAGTACCGTGTCCGCGCTACAGCTTAGCAACTCAAACTGAAGCTATAAGTCTAAAATTATGCAAGCTTCTCGTATAGTCTATGGTATCGTGCATGTGCGTAATACTATAAAGCATACGCGAAGTTTGAATAATTTTAGACTGATAGCTTCAGTTTGAGGTGCAGAGCTATAGCGCGGACACGGAACTGAGCGACGACGTCGACATCGAAGCCCTAAACGGAGGCTTCCCGATGTCGGATGTGATCCAAATTCAGGTGGAAAATAAAATATATGATTATGATTAAAATTAGTTAAAAATTGGGCTAAAATTCCTTTGCTAAGAATTGATGTGAAACTGCTAAAAAAATGGATACGGAACTGCAGTAGCGCCGACTAGGGGTCGTTTCTCGAAACCGTCATAACTACAAGATCAACGACATCTCGCCACTGTCACGCAACTTGTCAGCTAAGTGTTTCACGAAGCCGTCTTTGCCAAGATGAGCGACAACTTCCGCGACAAGCGAGTTGTCACTGCTCCGAACCTGTCATATCTTTTTAATTGCTGTAAAGCGCCATCACAAGTCAGTTTGTTGCCATTCCATGGGCCGCGAAATGGACGATTAGTTTCACTATCATTTTGAGAAAAATATAGACGAGTTCGGTACGTAATTCTCTGGGATGCGAAATGCAAATGTACATAAGTGAGAATACAAATTATACAGAAACTTTAAAAAGCTGAATATAAACATTAAATCACAAATCATTAAACTATAACATATAAATAAGAGAGGTAAGAATGTTACACACCGTTTTCCATAGTCGATCCATAGTCTTTTCTTAGGATACCGTCATACCTTTGGGGCATATGTGCATTATTATTTCCTCTCTAATTACTTCTTCCAAATTATATTTTCAATATCAAATCAATTATATAACAAGTATTTATGAGACTCTAGAATAAAAATTGGCTGAGAAAAGACATTTTGCCTAAAATTCCTCGTCACAATAAACAAAAAAGTATGTATCGATAAACTATCACATTACGGTATCCTTCAACTAACTTTTGATTCGACTGTCAAAAAAAAAAACTCGCCAGTTTTTCTTCAATTTAAGAATCTTTACAGAAATATGCAAATCGTTTGATGATGTAAATATGATAATGACACTATTTATTATTTATTTTAGGAGAATTTATATGTATATGTTTCTTTTTGAACAATTTTAGCCCCAAAACTTGTTTTGGGTTATTCTTGATAAATCAAATGGATCGTGACAAAGACTATGTTCTTGAGCTGCTAGTATCGCGATATATCGATATCATGTCTGTCATGGCTTTGTGAAACGGTTTATCCGCTTCATGACATCTCCGTAGGTCGCCAACAAAGATATGACTGTCATGGAGTTGGTTTCGAGAAACGGCCCCCTAGACTCTAGTCTAGCTAGAGACAGAGTAAAGGACCGGTTTTCGGCCACTTAATTAAAGACAAAATCTTATTTTTGGACTCTTTACTTCCTCTTTATAATCATTTCTTGTTCAAATCATGAAGCAAATATTATTATTATTTAAACAAAAAAAGAATCCCAGAAAAAAATCACGAATTGCCATGACAATATTCATTTCAATTTTCACTGTTTTGGAGCCACTTATCGACCTAGCGATTCAGTTTACGACCGCATGTACAAATTCAATAGGAAGCGCTGAGCAGGTATCCCACGCCGGAGCTCCCGGGTGCTCGCCTGGTCGAAGACTAGCACTGCAGTGATCGGAAGTTGGAATCTGAATTAGACAGATATATCGTGCGTGCGTTGCGGGGTCTGGCTGCATTGATTTAATACATGCGATGAGATACTTTTGAGCTTGCGATTAACACAAAATCGGGCTCTAAATCTGAAAAATACTTGAAATAAAGCTCATTTTATGGTACCCATATTTCTTACATACACGGGTAAGAAACTCGATTTTTCAAATTTGGGTAGCGGGACCGCCGATTACATCGCTAAAATGTGATATTTTAGGATATATTTTCCATTGTAAATGTGGTTCTTCAGTGACTCTGGCATGGTATGGTATGTGTGGGATATGTGATTTGCTATTATGCGATGTATTTTAAAGGGATTTTACCATGCATCCAACGGATCAGCCGAAAACTGGAGCTGGTCGTTTACCCCCTCCTTTACTCTAGTAGACTAGATCTAGAGTAAAGGAGCCGGTTTTCGGCCACTTAAGACAAAATCCTATTTTTTGGACTCTTTAGTTCCTATTTATTATCATTTTTTGTTCAAATCATGAAGCAAATATTATTATTATTTAAACAAAAAAAGAATCCCAGAAAAAAATCACGAATTGCCGTGACAATATTCATTTCAATTTTCACTGTTTTGGAGCCACTTATCGACCTAGCGATTCAGTTTACGACCGCAATTACAAAGTCAATTAACTTACGCCGACTAGGAAGCCCCCGTTTGACCATGGCTATTATATATGATTTAAATCATAATCAGGTTTATACCTTTCTAGAGCTTTCCTGTTCCTTTTTCTTTCTTAACAAAAAATATATATTGTGTGCATGCAGCAAGGCTGGCTCCCTAGGCATTGAATATTTTGCTTTGTGAAAGAGTTTATGCATACAATTTAAATGACTGCAGTATGTTGCCTGAGTGATTCTGTGGCATTGACACAGAAGACTGTAACATGGTATGTACATGGCTGATTTCTTTCAGAAATGTAGAATAAACTATCAAACTAAGTGAGCTTGTGTGAGTTCATGTCTGGGGAACTGGAGAGAGATAGTGTCACGAGTTTCAAAACAATGGTCTACAAAGTATGTGGCAGGGATATGGTTTTAGATCACTCCTCTATTGTCATGCTACATGTCAATCAAGATCCTAGTGCATTGATGTACTTCCTCTCTGTTCTGTTCATTGTCTACTGATCCAGGGATTAAATTAAAACCTTCTGAGTTCTCAATCACCAATTAATGAAGCCTGTCAAATTATCACTTGAGATCAAGAGGAGAAGGGGATTTGCTGAACATTTTGAAGTTTTGATGATCTCTTTTTGTAATGTGTAGATCTTTTATTTTTTTTAGAGATAATTAGAATGTCCTGCACATTGCTTAGGGGGTGGCCTGAGGCTTGCCTTGCATAGCTACAGCTTATTTGCAACGTGTATTCCAAACTAAGAGGTTTTCTCGTGTAAGAGCTGGTTTGGATAAGAAAAATCAATTGAATTAAAGAGATAAGCGTTAATTTAGCATTATTGTGTAACCTGTTTTCATTTGCACATAGTTTCTGTGAAATGAAATGCTTATTTGAACATCTCAGAATGAATAAGGGTGGATATGACTTGCATTATTTACCATGCCGTTAAAACCTCTTTAAGTACATTCTTTGCAATAAATGGTCAATTAAACCCTGAATAATAAATCCCAGGCTAATTAAAGTTACTGGTATAGAAGTGAATTTCTATAGAATCAAAGAGATTATAAACCTTCATAGTGTCAATCCTTTCATTTATTTTCTCTTCAGTCTGATTGACAATGGCGCACATGCTAGGTGGCAAGTACTGCCTGGAGAGTCTCGGCAGAGATGTAGGTGACTTACAATCCGCTGTGGCAGACTCCCTCTCTAGGGTCGGCCCTGTCAGGTACCCTTCATGGAAGTTTCCAGATAAGGTATGATAAAACTGATACTAAAAGCGATATTACATCAATGGGGAGGGGGGAGGGGGGAGGGGGGAAGTGGCAGTTTCACGACAGGATATTTTTAATGAGCTAAATTGTTCATATTTTGTTCTTTAAATTGACAACAAAAATGTTTTGATTTATTGCTAGATTGTGCTATTAAAATGTAATGTCTTTGAAAAAAGACTATAGGTAAAGGACTTCATTTAAAAAGTTTAAAATATGACCAATTCTTATTTTTTAAATGTGATTTTGAACTTCCCAAAGTTTGCAGTTTTAATGATTTTAAACGTTATTTTCTATTTTAAAATTCCCGGCATTGTATGCCATTATGCATTGTGGCCATTCAACTAATTTGGATGCGAAATGTGCAGAAACTTTTGCCTTTTCTACTCAGGCATCTAGGGCGCTGAATCAAAAGTGAATGAGCCAAACCAATAGACAATTCAAATAGAAAAATAAATCACCCCCCCCCCCCCCAAAAAAAAAAAAAAAAAAAGGGGCTGTGATTGGCTGCTGGAACTAATCAGAAACCAGTCTATGTCTTTTTCCTTAAAAGCAAAGTTTGTTTCAATGTTATCAATTTAATGATTCCCTATAACACACAAGTATTTCTGTTCACTATATATTTAGGATTTGTAATAAATTATTAATCACTTTTTGTTAAGAGCAATTACAGTTACGTATGTGACCAGTACTCAATATTATCTTTTAGTTAGACTTTTATGAGATACCATAGATTTCTTCAAGTGTTTGATATTGTTACATTCTAAAATACTTTCAGGTGTCTTCTGATGTTGACATAGAAGAACTCTTGGAGGATTATAAGTTTAGTGAGGATGAGGAGGATAACCAAGTAGCTCATGTCATTCTCTTTGAGCTTGTTATTGATAGGTAAATATGGAAAGAATTTTGTTGTGTTTAGAAACTGCATTAAATTCATGTAAAATACTTTTCTGTTCCATCCAAGCTTTGGTGTTTTTATCAATACTTGTAATCATAGTAGTGGTGATGCTGATAATGATGAAAATCAAATTAAGAAAGTAATGATGATGGAAATGTCTTTATTAATAATTATAATAATATTAATATAGTAATTGTAGTTTTGATGATGATGATAATGCTAATTATGATAATATTACTAATAATGATACTAATAATATTGATAATAATAATAATAATAATAACACTTGAAATAATAATAACATGCATAAGAGAATCATAAATAGGATTGGCCTACCGGTATATTTACTATTAAAGGGGAAGTCCACCCTGAAATTAAGTTAGTTTTAATAGGAGTAGAAAAATGAGAGAAACAAGTCAGTGAAAGTTTGAGCAAATTCCGATTAAAAATAAGGAAGTTAGGATTTTTGAAGTTGTGATCAATCAAACACAAATTGGCAACTCTATGACGTATCATGCGAGCTCAACTTCCATTTGCTCAGTACTAAAAAAATCTAAAATTTTCATTTTCCCTCAAGAAAAATTTCAACCACCCATGCACCCTAAATATAATAATTGCAAATATGTTTCTATACTCCCCCTGCAAGGAACAAATATATATTCCGTCATCAATAACGAAGAAAACATGATTTTATGGAATATTATGCACAAAGCAAATGAAGGAGAGCTCGTATAATAAGTCACAGAGTTGCCAATTTGTATTTGATTGATCACAACTTCAATAATTCATAACTTTCTTATTTTCATTCAGAATTTGCTCAAACTTTCACTCACCTGATTTTCTTATTATTCTGCCTCTATCGAAACAAACTTATTTTGGGGGTGGACTTTCCCTTTAAGCATAAGTATTAAAAGAACTTGTAAGTTCTCTCATGTCAGTACATATTTGTAAATTATTTTCTTGTTGATTTTTTTCTTTGTCAGAATGGTCCTGCTTCTGCAAAGCTTCACACGCTTTGTAGAGCAGCTTATTCAGGGGACGGTTGGACGGCCACCCACTGCCACGCCCATGGGTACCCAGATGTCTATCGGGCTAGTGGTCAAGAAGTTCTGGAATAAAATTGTCCAGCTGAACAGCATCACACAGAAACTGAGTGCAGAGGTATGTAGACTCTTATCATTGCACAAGACAACAATCTTACAATGTTTATTGTTGATGTTGGATGTGAAAGTGATTTAGTTTTCAGGTGGTTTAGGTTTTAAAGGGATCGTTTAACAATGTTAAATCTGAGATACACGGCCCTACGTGTTTTCAGTGTCTGTGATATGGTGTAATATTGAAACCCTAACAAAATTGCGCTTCAAAATGATCAAGAAGTGCCTCAAAAAAGTAAAAATCTTTGAGTGACCGGGTTTACCATACTCGTTTTCCCCAATAGACTGTAGTGTTATGAAAACCGTCAGGCGATCGGTTTTCAAAATTTGTAATTCCAATCATAAATATCTTAGTAATCAGACAGGCAATCGGCTTGTAAAAGTCATGGGGTTCCTGACTGACCTAAAGGTTTATAATTATCATTGCATCATGAGCTAAATTCAGAATTTTGTTTCAGAATCTGAGACAAAGTTACCGGATCCCTTTAAAGGTAATACAAAGTTTTGGTATGGGATCCTGAATTTGGTTCAAATGAACATATTGGAAGCATATGCGAGCGATCCTACAATATTCAGTGATCGTTGTCACGGTTGAAATCGAGTCTATAAAGTTATGAAATTGTAAATAATACACTCTTTATGTTGTATAGCTCCCTCTCAAGGTCAAGATAAATTATTTTAAAACAATGTTTCTCGACTAAAATCGCGCGATTAGCTATTCCTGTTTGGAAATTATATATCACAACTACATATTCTGAGGTTGTCATGGTCCTAGCTACCATCGTACAGCTGTAGGAGCTACTTGAAATTCATCAAAATTTACCAGGAGAACCGGTAAATTGTAATATTCAATCTATCTCGAAAGCGGAGGTGTTTTAGGGGCTAAATTTTCTAGTCCTTGTAATACATCCACAGGGGCATCCAAATATATCAAAATTGTAAAGAATCACTATCCACCCACTGTTCAAAATTTCCCAAAACTATATTGCCTTTAACGTGTTAATATTTGTTGTTATATACCTCACTTAAGAAATCCAGCCATCTGATTGGTCGAATTGCATTCATAAACTTCAACTGTTCCTGTAAAATTCTCGGTAACCATGCATAAAACATTTCAATATTTTTAATAACCATGGTTATTAAAAAAAGTTGGTCAGCCTCCATGGTTACCCCATAGGTTTACATGTTAAAAAATGGTTTGAGCGATGGAGGATGCCGTATGTGTGCGAAGGATTGGTCGGTAATTTCAATACAATTGAATCTCGATCGATCTTACCGACAATTTTATCTTGCATTGTTGACATGAAGACGAAAATAAACTTCCAAAAACAAAAAAACAACATCTGCCGATAGATCTTGATCTAAGTTCGTGCCAATATGCAATTGCAAAAGTAAAAAAAGAGTCCGTATATGGAGCTTTTGCGAAGCATTCATCACACGCGAAGCCGGTTTCAATCCATTTTAATGTATATATTGTACAAAACTGCCATACATGTTAACAACGCGCGATGGCCGAGAGGTCTGAGGCGCTGACTTTAGACACATCACCTTTTGTACGCAAGAGTTCGAATCTCATCTTCGACCAAAAAAAAAAGTATTTTTTATTTTTTATTTTTTAGTCTATTTTTTTTCGGCATATAAAAGTATTAATGACTGCTTTAATATTCGAGAAATAGTTGTTTTCATACGCTCTCGGGAAGGTTACAATTGGGCTATTCCCCTCGGCAAGCCTCGGGGAATAGCACAATTCTAACCTTCCCTTGAGCGTAATAAAACAACTATTTCTCTCAAAGCAGTCATTAATACTATATTGTGTATAGTGGTTCATTCACTTGACTCTCAATCCAAGGGTTGGTGATATGAATTCCAGCCTGTACGTGGCAAGACATTGATCCCAATTTGCTACCCTCCACCCAGGTGTAGATGGGTACCTGGTAATCACAAGGGTAATAATGCAGAAGAGCAGTATTGATACTGGTGTGGCTAATGGGTAAATATGACCCAATTATTATTACTATTATTATTATTACAGTGTATGTTTCCTATCTGTTTCTTGCTCAGAGTAAATCTAAAGGAAGGACTATCAATAAGCTGGAGGTTATTAATGTTGAACTGCAAGAGCAGCTACGAAAGACAATGCAGTCCACAAACATGTCAGGTCACCTGTTAGATAGTCATGTAGCATTCGTTCCAGAAGGGGACAGTGATGATCAGGGGATATCAGCTCCTGAGGCATTCACTTCATCGAAATCACAAATGGCAATGCTCACCCCACAGCCCAGTGCTCATCAAGTGATTGCAATAGACACCAGGACAACGTCTTCACAGACACTAGAGACTGCCTTTGTACCCTGTGAAGCTTGCGAACGGGTGCAGCTGTGCTTGAGAGACGTCGGAGAGACCATCACAGATGTGTGCCAGTCGCAGAAACTTCCATCATCTATCGCGCGGCATCGGAAGCAGCTTCCAGGGGATGTACTGTCTGCGATGGACGTCAGCCGATGGACCATGGAACAGAACAAGGATCTGGACAGAATCAAAGACCACTTAAGCAACTTGATGGCACAAATTCATCCCCTCGAAGCAGAGCTCGCTGCTTCGCAGGAGGCTTGCGAGAGACTGACGGAGAATGTCAGCCGGAAGGACAAAGATCTGAAGAGTGCGAACGTGTCGCATGGGACTGAGGTCAAACAGTTTGAAGCCAAGGTCAAGGAGATAGAGCGCCAGCATGCGGAATCCATCATGGTGGTGAAGAGGAGTTACGAAGAGGCACGGGGTGGCAAGAAGAAGACAGAGGAAGAGCTGACCAAGCTCAAGAGGGAGCTACAGAGGCAGTATGAAGCCCTCAAAGAACTAGGTATGACAAATAGCTTTTGGTGAGCCATTCATTCTACTTACAATGTACATCCTCTCGCTGATCACATTAATCTTTATTTTTGGAATATAGTCAGTTTCTTAAGGAAATTCTAGTGATATCAGTGAGCTTTTAAAAGTAATTGTAACCACTGAATAAGTTACCTTCGACCAGTTTTGCATTAAACTTCCTCATGTATCAATTGTTAGATTGTGCATCTTTATGATTGGGCACTGTGTGATTTAGAAAGTGAGCTTTATATCCCGAAGATTATCACCTCAAATCATAAGAGCATTCCCATTTTCCATTAATATGTGTTAAAATATCCACACAAAAATTCTTCATTTGTTGGACACACTAACGGTACTTTTTTCAGTGAAAGATTAAGAGTTTCTTTCAACTTTTTTTTGCCATCTCACCTGTATACATTTAATCTTTGTATACCTGTACCAGTCAAGGATATTACATGTACATGACTTCCGGTAAATGTATCTCTCTTTGTCACAGAGGGAGTACGGGAGGAGCTGAATCAAACCCTTGATGCTAACACCACCAACCAGGCGTCGGTCAATCGGCTCGAGAGTCACGTGACCCAGCTGAGTCGGCAGCTGAATGAGACGCAGGGCCAGCTGACCGAGTCCAGCAGACAACTGGGCAAAGAACAGGCCAAGAACAGGAGCATAGATAAACATGGGCAGGTAAATAACAAACACTAAAAATGAGTAAGATGGTTCCGTGTGAGGTGAGGGAAGGGGGGCGGGTGGGGGGGGGGGGGGGTGTGAAAAGAATTAAAGTTTAGGCAAAGCATGTGTATCCTTGAGGGAGGCAGCTTGTCTGTATTGCTCCTCTGTACCCAGGTGTTAAATGGGTACCTGGTAGGAGTTGAGTTTCATTTTGGTTGAATTAGCAAAACTAGGTGACTGGCTAGAATGGTTAATTGCCCTCCCTAAAAGAGTGGGGAATGTGCACTGCAATGTGCAGAATAGTACATTGTAATTGAATGATACTGTAAGCGATTTAAGGTGCGATATGAGAAACAGTATGTAATATCATTGTTAAGGAACTTTTGTGTCATGGCCTAGTGGATAAGTGAGCAAACAGTTTATCACATTGCACATGGTTCAAATCCCTGTCACTGCACCAGCTAGTGTCCTTTCATCAGACATTAATCTTCTATACAACCACTCATACCAGATGAGGTTCATGGAGACTCGGTAGGGAGAAGAAATTATGTCATCTTGCACATTGAGGGGCTCCAAGATCAAAGAACATCATTGAGTGAATTTCATTAGTTAATTGGCTTATTTATAGCCCTCAAATTCCAATGAATAATTTTATATAATCAGTGACATATTGGTTAATGAATTTAATATATTTAACCAGTAAACTATCTATTTATCTATATGTACCCTGTTTCTTGAAAGACTTATAATGCCTACTCAAGTGCTAAATATCTGTTATGGTGCTGTTGATATCCCATGCAGGCCCTTCAGAGCAAGCATGACGCCCTGGTCCAGCGGGTGGAGGAGCTGGACCAAGAGTGCCAGGACCTGAGAGAGGGTCTAGCGGATGCTGAGGACGGCAAGGAGGAGGTGCTAGAGCAACTCAAAGCTACTCAGAGTGAGCTCCAAGGATTGCAGGATGAATTCAAGACTCAACAGGTAATTGGATCTAGAATTGTATGGTAGTCTCAGAAGTTACTGAATTGTGACATTTGAATTTTCAAAACTTAAAGTCCCTTCTTTAATTGTTACCAAGGCAATTTAGGAGGTGTGCTTTTGTCAATTTAAGATATTTATGCTTGTGCTGGATACATGGAGACAACAAAAGTAAAGAGGAAGAGAGAGAGAGAGAGAGAGGTATTGATGTTCATGCATCTTGCTAAAGATAAGGGTAAAAATTAGAACATAAAATATAAGAAAATCATAATTCAGAAAAAAAACTTAGAAAAATGAAAATATAAAAGTATGAGATAACAAAATGTTAATAGACGTCATGTTTTCCTATTTTAAAAAGTATTATTATTGTCATATAGGCTTTAAAAATTACATTGACTTGACTGAAAGAACATGTACTTTTAAACTCTTGTGATACCTCCCCAGGACCTGGTTGCATCCATCACGGAAGAGAAGAAGTTCCTGGAGTCGTCTGTCGGTGATCTTCAGACCATGATCCTAGCCCTGGAGGAGCAGCTCAAAGACACCCAGGAGAGAGAGAAGATGCTGATCCTCTACCCAGACACCAACCCTGGACTGGTGCCTGCTGCACAAAGAGCTGACGGTAAGCATACCTGCCAACCCTTCCAGCCGGAATATTCTGATTTCCTGGATTTTTAAGGACCTAAAAATTTGGAATATTCAGATATTTTAAAATTTCAATTTTTTTTTTTTTTTTTTTTTTTTTTTTTTTTTTTTGGTGTGTGTGTGTGCTGAAACCAAATTAAGCTTGTTTCATCGTGCTCCGCGATTTTGGAGTTCATGTATTGCGTGGTTTGAATGGCTGCATGATCGAGCAGCGAATTTGTATTCGCTTTTTTGCACAGATTTACCTCCAGCAAGCTTGCGTCTATTTCTTACCATTTTTATGATTCTCAAACCTCATAGTATACACCGATTCTTAGGTGTCATCCACAGTCAGTCAACCCCATTTATTGCAAAGCATGTGCTTGATGGTACTGGTGACTGTTTCATAAAGCTTGTTATCAATAACAAGTTCTAGAATTCTACGACAAATATGCTCACTGCCAATCAAATGCCACAAATTCAGTAGCTATTAACAGTTATTGTACCTTGTTATTAATAACTAGTTTCTTGAAACAGTGCACTAATGTGTCCTATTTTAGATTTTTTAAAATTATTTACCATATTTGATCGTGATATGTTTGCTTGTTATTAGGTGACAGTGCCAGCGGGATGGGGCAGCGAGTCCAGACTAATAACGTACGGATCCAGATCCTGGAGGAACAGAACAACCTCCTACGCAATAACATTGACAAGCTGCTAGCAGGACAGGAACCACAAGGGCAGTCTGGCCAGGTAAGCACTGATTTGCCTTGCCTGGACTAGACTGAGTGTTGTCTTATCACTCAAAACTTATACGATTGGACTCAGCTACAGCACAGAACTGTGTACCCATTTTTCTAGACATTTGTATTTTTTTCAAGACAAATCTTAAAGGTAATGCAAAGTTAGTAATTTTGTAAAATTTATTTGGATGCCCCTGTGGATGTATTATAAGCACTAGGAAATTTAGCCCCTGAAACACTTCTGCTTTTGAAAAATTGAAAAATCAAAAAGTTACCGGTGCTCCCAGTCAATTTCAAATATTTCAAATAGCGCCAAATAAGGCCATTCCATGGTAGCTTCGACCATGAAATTCTCAGAATATGTAGTTGTGATATGTAATTTCCAAACGGGAATAGTAAATCGGTCGATTGTAGTCAAGAAACATAGTTTTAAAGCTAAATTACTCGTACTTTAAACATCACACAGGTGAATGGTCCAGGCATTCCATTGTGGCAAGCAGATTCTCTGAAACAAGCCAGGCAGTCTGTCAGCGTCAACAACAACCATGCCAATGCTAGGTCAGGCAAGTCACCAAGGTCACCACGAGGTCATCTGGATCCAATTCACATCCCTAATGGCCACCATCCTTTGGAGTAAGTAAATTCTATTAGGGATGTCAGTTTTCTGGCCTGTTTAACAACTGCATCTTCCCCCCCCCTTAATACTATCAAATTGACTGAAATTATCTGTAGAACACAAAATTTAGAGGTACGTGTTGGAATAAAAATCATTCAACTTACTCTCCAACATTCTAAAAAAAATTCAAACTACTCAACAGACAAACTGTGGAGTATTTTCTGTAAGTTAAAAAAAAAACTGTCAAAAGAACTCAGATTTTCTTCTGTCAAGATCAAAATTGATAAAAGGCCATGGAAACCTTGATTTTGATTGGGTGTTGAGTCTTGTTACCATGGTAGTTACCATTGATGGCAAAGTTACCATCAATGGTAAGTTTTATGCAACGCGCCCTGGTGATGATAGTGGCACTAATAGACCCACAAGGGCTATCATGAAAGTACATGAAATTATTATTGTGACCTCATCTTTGTAGAGGTGTCATGGTCAAGTGGTTGAATCACTTGACTGGGAATGCAGAGATCATGGGTTCAAGCCCTGGCATGGCAGATGTGTCCTTGAGTAAGTCATTTTAACTACATTGATCCTCTCCACCCAGGTGTTGAATGGGTACCCATTAGGATGCGAACATTATTGCGATGGGATCAGCATGTGCACCCTTGCAAACAGGTGCCTCTCTGAATGTTGCCCAGAGGAGTTGAGAATGTGCACTGTAAATGGGTGTAGAATCGTAATTGAATTCAATGAGTTGAGTAGTCATACTGATTGGTTACATTGCAACTGGTATTAAGGCTTCTTCTTTTTCTTCTCCTTTTCAGTGAGCATCTTACCGAGGAGGAGGTCATAGCCAAGTACACCAAACAAAGCTCTAAGAATCGTCAGTACAGTCCTTCGTCCGAAGAGGCCACCACTTATCAGATTCCTCCAAGACCGCCCTTTAGGAAAGGCAACAGGGACAAGACCAAACCAAAATCTGGTAAATCACTAGTTACAGTCAAACCTGTCTATAGCAACCACCCAAGGGAAACACAAAAAGTGGCCTTTGTAGACAGGTGGTCTTTGTAGACAGGTAGTAACTAAAGCAGGCTTGACTGCATAATTATAATATTCTGTTTATGCTTATTACAGATGACGCTTTGCTACAATATCTGTATGTGTTTTGAATGAGCTCTGAAATATATAACCCAGGTTGTAGTTCTTGCTTTTGTTTTAACCGCATGGTGCATGTCAAAGAATAATCCTTCCAGGTATACCCATTCACCTCACCTGGGTAGAGTGTGGCAAATGTAGATAAATGTCTTGCCAAAGGATGTCAGTCAAGTGGCAGGGACTCAAACTCTGTAATTCCTTTTGTTGTCATTACTTTCCGCACATGGTTCACACTTGATTGATTGCATAAGACTTAAGACGGCATGTTCACATATGCCATGGCAAACTATGGTAGTATTTTGTATTTTGAATGAATGGGAAGTGGGAATGAAAAGAGTATCTTTGCACAACAAAGCTCCGACGCGAACTGATCTGTGTAATCTATTAAAAAAAATCATGCCATTTAACCACATTTTATTTCAAGTGTTATTAAAGATTTTTAAATAACACGATGCCACGTAAAAAATAGAAATAAATGAAATAAGGAAAAAATACATGCAAAAGATAATGAAGCGACAAAAGTGGTCATTGGTACTACAAATCATGAGTTTCAGAATTAAGCATTGGTCATTGGTATTTCAAATCATAAATAGTTTCAGTATTAATTTCCGACGCAGAAATTTAACGTTGAACCTGTGAGTTGAATTAATGAACAGAGTCGGGAACAAATGAATATATGACAACGGTGTATGTGAACGAGCCTTTATTCTGTGCCTGTCCGGCAGGTAAGAGAACCTCCAGTCAGAGTGGTGTGGACGTGGCCAAGCTATCCGCTACTACCAATCCAAGCCTTCATGCTTACAGGACACTCAAGAGCAGCGGGGCCATCGGCAAACCTCAGCCTGCCGTCAAAAACCAAGACGGTGAGTTTAAAGCCCCACTGCACTACTTATAGCTACTTGAGCCCTCTATATCAAACTATTCCTAAGCGGTGACCATTTGGTCCCCCATGGTCCCCTTTTTCTTATGTTAATTGAGATCTGATTTGATGAGATTACCACCTGTCAGTGACCATGCAGAAAGGTCTAATCCCTCCTGGCCGAACTAGTGCAGATAGGCTTTAAGGTCATGCACAACCTTGATTTTGGTGAGACTATCATGCCCAGCTAATGTTATTCTTGTCTGGTCGATTCTAACAAGTCTACTGGGGACAGGCGATGGTGGGTTCAGCGCTTTGGTGCTGGGAACTCTCGCTCTCCAGGTGTTTTTTTTGGTGTAAACAGACCTTTTCTCAATCTAACATTGAATATATTGCTACAGAACGTTGTCATCACCATGATTATATTGTTTTATTGTTATATTTCTTGGAAGTGCCGAATAAATAATGAATAAATAAATAAAATTAAATCAACCACTTCAATTTACCATTACCTGCAGGTCCAGACTTCTTCGTAGGCAACCGAACACCAGCAGCAAACAGTCGTCATGCCGTGCAGCAGTCGTGGAAAGCCCCTGACCCCCACGCAAGGTCAGAGGGCACGCAGTCTAGAAACAGCTACTATGAACCGGGCGATACATTCATCTGCCAGCAGTGTGATAAGATGTATGACAACAAGAGGGACTTGGACATTCACAAGTCATATTGCTATCCCTAGCTCAAGTTCCTCCCAAAACTGTTTAAGCTGTTATTTTTGTGGGGGTTTTATTCTCGAGAATTTCGCAAATTTAACAACACAAGGAAATCGCCCCCCATTTTAGGGATTTCCCCATGTAAGGGTTTTCATATCAAGCTTCAGGGGTGCGCATGCATACTTCCACTTTTCTAATGTACAATGTGTTAGTACTGTGTACGTACCGGTATATGTGCCGCACATCATAGTTCAGCAAACGCATGCATGCGTATGTAATGCAACACCAGTTTGTGTATCTTTAAACAATGAGGGTGTAGAGTGTACAAAAGTAATTACAAGTAGCCTGTATATCTGTGAAAATGTCTATGGGCCTGTAATTTAAGAAAATATCTGTATGCGAAAGTAATGGCTTATACAGTATGTATACCTGTGCCTTCATACCAAAAATTACCATAAACAAAAACACTAGTTTGGAGCCAGATGGGTGTTAACATGGTGTTACATGATATGAGTTAACGCCTTTTTGGCTCCAGACAGATGAAACCTTGTTTATAGGTACTACAGTGAAACCTGTATGTGAAGACTACTCAAAAGAGAAAATGGTCTTTATAGGCAGGTGGTCTTTCATACTGAGTTTTTTTCTAAAGGTACTACAGTGAAATCTGTATTAAGACTGTCCAAGGGAGACAAAAATGTGGTCTTTTTAAGCAGGTGGACTTTATCCAAGGGTTGTTATGAGAGAATTGGTCAAGGGAATCATAAAAGATGGGATCATTATTGGTGGTCTTTCTATAAAGGTGGTCATTTGACTGTATTCAACATTTTGCATGGTTATGAAAGCAGTAGACTTATTCATGTTGCTAAGATTGAAGGAAAATACCCCTGAAAATGATCAGGAATATGACCATCATTTAGTTAGGAAATGGTCAATTTTCATTAAGAATGATAGTGATTCAATTAGTCTTGCAGTAAAATTAGACCTGAAGTCATAGATATCTTTAAAAGTTTAGCAGAAATATATAAATATTAAAGATATATATATATCAATATTAATGAGTTCAAATGACTGAATAGCAGTTTCTCTCGATAGGAAAATCCATTTGAAAACTCAAGATGAATGGTGATTTCTTAGGTTGGGCTGGTTAAAATGTCTGTACTGTAGATGGATGGGCTGCTTAGCAAGTCCAAGCTATTTTGTCCACCACATCTTAAGATTGCACATATTATGACTGTATCCAACTGATAGCCCTACTAGAGTTTGAAGCAGAAAAGTCATCAAATTGAAATAATTGGTTTTTGTATAATTGATGTTGATGTTGATGTTGGCAATTCCATAAAAATTAAAAAATATATTACTTGGTAATGTGTGGGACATGCTGTGGACTTGCATTGCCAAGATAGTCACTTTTCAGACCAATCACAAAATAAATAAATAATAATTTGAATACATTTTGCAGACATGAAATCCCCCCCCCCCCCCCCATAAAAAGGGATTATATTACATAGAAATATAGACATATAAAATCGTCTGGTTAAGTTATATTTGAAGCTGGTAAATTGAATATAGGATACATCATACCAGCATGGAACACCAAACATAAATACCAAAATATATTGTGTGTGTGTGAATGTGACTGCCCCCTTTAAATTCATATGGGAGAGTGGGAGGGTTTGTGTGTTAGTGCAAGGTGGTGACGATATTGCTCAAATCATATTTTTTCTAAAGTGATGTGTAGGACAATATTCACTTTGGGGTATAATTGATGTTATTGAAGAGTGATCGATGAATGAAGTTCAAACATTTTCTTGTCAATTATTTCAGCAATTTTATCATTATTTACTCTTTATTAATTAAATTGAAGTTACGTGTGTTTTGTTATTTTAATAACCATATTTTAATAAGATTAATACATCATGATGTTATCCCTTTTCCTGCTCAGTAGTTTTTTCAATGTTTGATAATTCATTGAGGTTACGTCTGTGATGTTTCAAGTTATGATTTGAATAAGCTAAAAACAAAATTTGTTTGAAGTGGGAAATAACTATATAACGGGAAAGAGGAAAGAATTATCTGAATTTTAAAATTAAATTTGTAATTTTACAGAGAAACACCTTAAAATGTATTTGCTGTGCCCATGCTCTGTCATATTACATGTATTTAGGGGTACTGTGTAATGACTTACAAAGAAGCCTTTACAATTATATTCCAAAACGGCCTTGAAATCGTCTTTCGTAGCATTATACCACAGTCACACCAACGAAACCGACACCAGACCGAAGAAACTTTTGCATTACTCATACAAAGCCAACGTTTCACTGAAAGAAAAGAGGAATTTCTCAAAGTTAATGATACGAATGCTGATAATTTTGTACGCTTTTAGACAGAAGATTTCAGAGAGAGGAATTATAGGGATCTTAAAACTAGTCTGGAGGCCCCCAAATGGAAATACCAAATTGGGAGCTATGAATACCCCCTATGACAAGAAATGGGTAGGCTTTGAGTCAATGTGAAGTTGGTTTGGTGGTGTGACTTGGGTATTAGAGATTGTGGGCATTCATGAAAGAGATATATAAACTAATTATATGCACATTGATATGTTAAATTGTACATTTTTCTGATATATATATATATATATATATGTAGCTTTGTTGGACAGTATATTTTGTGAATAGTATTTTTCTTAATTGCAATAAAAATCTCAATATGATTCTAAACATTCATTTTTTTCGCTATGGTAATATTTTCTTTCTCCAAGTAGGTTGTTTTCAGAGCGTCTGTGCAGTACCAAAAGGAAGCTTATATTTTGAATGTTTATCAAATTAAGAATAGTACAATGATAGGCAATAACACAAATTATGTTGCTTTAGTAATTCATTTTTCCTTTATTTTGCATTTGAGATATATATCAAATTCTGCATCATATTTGAAACATAATTGAATCAGACACTCATTTCTTCTGTTAAAGGCCTTTACTTTCTATCAAGAGCAAAATTAATCTGAGGGATCCAGCTCTCTCGATCTTCAATCTCCCTCAACCTGCATCACATTTACCACTATCAGGATCATTGCAATGTTAAGGTGGGCAATGACACCATTGGAACTTGGAAAAGCTGGATTGTCTTTGTTCCCAGCATCTTTTCGGTAATTCTCTCCGAGATCAGTAAACATTCCAGTTTGTGTCCTGTGCTTGATCTTGGGCTTTGCTTTGATGGCATGTATCGTTCTAGCTGTCATTGGGACCTTGGCCATATGCAGTCGACCAGTGGCACAATTTGGACATTGGACAGTGCTTTCATTCTCCTAAGCTCTTTTCAAGGAGTTACTTTTGAGGGTAATGGGAAGCCTTGCAGTACCCCACTCTTCAGTCTCAATCCTCTTCCTCCTCCTCCTCCTCTTCGATGCAGGGCATCACATCTACTACCTGCATCATGGTAACCATGAAGCTGAGCGATGATGCAATATGATATACACCTCTTTCTCGTCAGCTCTTTCCAAAGAGTTGGTTTTGAGGGTGATGGGAAGCCTAGCTTGCAGTACCCCACTCTTCAGTCTCAATCCTCTTCCTCCTCCTCCTCCTCTTCGATGCAGGGCATCACATCTACTACCTGCATCATGGTAACCATGAAGCTGAGCGATGATGCAATATTATATACATCTCTTTCTGGTCAGCTCTTTCCATGGAGTTACTTTTGAGGGTAATGGGAAGCCTTGGAGTACCCCACTCTTCAGTCTCACTTATCTTCCTCCTTCACCTCTTTGATGCAGGACATCACATCTACTACCTGCATCCTGGTAACCTTGGCCAAATGAAGCTGAGCGATGATGCAATATGATATATACACCTCTTTCTCGTCAGCTCTTTCCAAAGAGTTGGTTTTGAGAGTGATGGGAAGCCTTGCTGCAGTCCCCTACTCTTCGGTTTCACTCCTCCTTCTCCACCTCTTCGATGCAGGACATCACGTTAACTACTTGCATCATTGGTACCTTGGCCATGTGAAGCTGAGCGACAACGCGATTGGACTTGGGGCACTTCTTCCTTCCCAGCTTCTTCCTAAGGGCTTTCTGCCGATCCTTCGTAGCCTGCTTCTTCAGCTTCCCGTCCAAGCTCTTGACCTCGTCTGAGACGTAGAGCATCGCCTTGCGATACTCAGCAAGTTCCTTGATCACTTTCATTAATCGCTTCTCCAAGCTGTATCCTTTGATGGTCATCCCATCGATGGGTGTGCGTAGGAATGGGTACTTTACTGCGAATGGGATTTCAGGGCCGAGAGCAGATAAGCGAGCGGAGAGAGAAGAGCACTTGTTGATCAGCATCTGGGCGGCGGAAACGGCCCGAGCAAAGTCTGCCAAGACTTTAGAGGCGGGGCACTCAGATGCAACTTCTCTGAACTCTTTGAAGTAGTCGTTTGTTGCAGCAAATTTCTAAACGGAGAGAGAAAGAAACATGAGGGTACAGCATGGCCGAGAAGGTTATTCATTTGTAACACAATCTGAGAAGGAGTAAAATATTGGAGATCGATAGTATACAGATTTTCTTTCCATTTCCATATGACATATACAAATATTGACTACTTTTCAAAGCAGCAGATATCCATTAGTAACAGATTAAAACTTTAGTGCATGCCAGAGCCCTTTAAATTTCCCAGAGTATAAACCACTAATTCTAAATCATTAGGAAATATTAATATAAGCATGAAGAGTAGCGTTTACACCTGACATACACCATGATTATTATACTTACTTTTGTGAAGGACTGTCCATTCATTGCTTCATCAGCCTTCTGCACCATCTCATCAATAATTTTCACCTGTCTACGCAAGTCTTTGATGATGTCCTGTATCCTCTTCCTGATTGGCTTGGTAACCTTCTCCACAAACTCTGCTTCTGTCAATCCGCAGCCCTTGGGCTTGGAGAAGGGCTTCTTGCTGACAACCTTCCACAGGTTCAGGGTTGAGATGATGTCATCAAAGAGAGCATGACTTGAGGTCATTGCACGAAGGAGAAGAGCGCATGCCCTAGAGCTCTCGTCGCAGTCCTCCTCTACCTGACTGGACGCACATGCATGCAGCTTGACATGGGGTTTGGATGTCTTTGAGCTTCGGGCATTTGGAAAAGTACCCAATGGCTGCTGATACAGTTTTCGAGAGCTCTTGGCATTTTCCCGATAAACTCTTGTTGCCGTGCTGTTCTGCGTTTGAACAAGTGTTAGCCTCCTCTTTCCAGCAATGCCTTATTTGTCCATTGCTTGATGATGTGGGCACTGGGGTTACTTGTTCAGATTGTCCAGAAAGTGAGGATGAACCATCCTTGGTCTTAGCAGTGATTGGAACGATCTTAGACGAACGGCGGCGAAACTTCTGTCTGAATGACTTGAGGGAGTGAGCTGGGAGCTTGGGGACCTTCAAAAAACCATGGCAACAGAAGATGCTAGAGATTGGCTCGTCATCTCGACTGGGCAAGATAGAGGGTTGGATAGTCTGTAAAAGAATTAGGAGGCAAGGGATTATTTTCGTTCGAAGCATGAAAGTGAAATCATGGAAGATCTTCTTGAGCAAGTCCAATTCACATGGGAGGTGCTAGATCGTGTTGAATAGAGATTGGGTGGGATGCTGTCAGACCAAGTTTGCTGGCAAGTTTATCCTCATATTTTTTACCAAACAAAAAACCTGAAGACGGAGACTGGCCTTCAAAATTCTCAAAATTTCCAAAAGGGTAGAAAGTGTCAAGATGTATATTATATTGTTGCTAACAGGATATTAAAATCTATCCAAATTAATACACTCCCATCCTCATAAAGGAAAGACAATGGATACAACTTTGTGAATGTAATAAACCTTTTTTGATCAAGTTAGAAAATTCAATATTTTATTGAGAGAATTTTTGAAAGGTGTGTGTGTGTGTGTGTGTGTGTGGGCAACACAAGTCAACTGCCGATTTGTTACTGTAATCTTTAATGTAATGAGAATGCAGCCATTAACATGTTTAATATGCAATATATCCACAATATGGTGCTCAAGGCGCTAGCAATAAATATACTAAAGTGACTCGGTAACATTGTTGGTTAAGGTTGATGACAAAACTGCGTAATGTTTGTATGAAATGTTACTCATTATATTCCTTCTACCGTACTACCCTCTAATATTAATAAAACAGAAATAATTGAACCAGAAAAATGTTATGGTTTTCTTTGAAGGCGTCACTGTACGACACCCTCTAACAGTATATTCTCTCAACCAATTTTTGAATTTCCCCAACCGTTTTCCCATGATATTCAGACAATAAAACAGGCTTTAAACAATCTGTCAACACTTAAATGTCTGGAATGGTATAAAGAGCGGATTCATTGCTTCATGACGATTTACATTCATCTTAGATTTAATTAAATTACCTCTTTCTCGTCAGCTCTTTCCAAAGAGTTGGTTTTGAGAGTGATGGGAAGCCTTGTTGTTCCCTACTCTTCGGTTTCACTCCTCCTTCTCCACCTCTTCGATGCAGGGCATCACGTTAACTACTTGCATCATTGACACCTTGGCCATGTGAAGCTGAGCGACCGCGCGATTGGACTTAGGGAACTTCTTCCTTCCAAGCTTCTTCCTGAGGGCTCTTTGCCGATCCTTCGTAGCCTGCTTCTTCAGCTTCCCGTCCAAGCTCTTGACCTCGTCTGAGACGTAGAGCATCGTCTTGCGATACTCAGCAAGTTCCTTGATCACTTTCATTAATCGCTTCTCCAAGCTGTATCCTTTGATGGTCATCCAATCGATGGGTTTGTGTAGGAATGGGTACTTTACTGCGAATGGGATTTCAGGGCCGAGAGCAGATAAGCGAGCGGCGAGAGAAGAGCACTTGTTGATCAGCATCTGGGCGGCGGAAACGGCCCGAGCAAAGTCTGCCAAGACTTTAGAGGCGGGGCACTCAGATGCAACTTCTCTGAACTCTTTGAAGTAGTCGTTTGTTGCAGCAAATTTCTAAACGGAGAGAGAAAGAAACATGAGGGTACAGCATGACCGAGAAGGTTATTCATTTGTAACACAAATTGAGAACGAGTAAAATATTGGAGATCGATAGTATACAGATTTTCTTTCCATTTCCATATGGCATATACAAATATTGACTACTTTTCAAAGCAGCAGATTATATATCCATTAGTAACAGATTGAAACTTTAGTGCATGCCAGAGCCCTTTAAATTCCTCAGAGTATAAACCACTAATTCTAAATCATTAGGAAATATTAATATAAAAAATTCACAGTAGCGTTTACACCTCAGTCACATACACCATGATTATGATACTTACTTTTGTGAAGGACTGTCCATCCATTGCCTCATCAGCCTTCTGCACCATCTCATCAACAAGTTTCACCTGTCGACGCAAATCTTTGATGATGTCCTGTATCCTCTTCCTGATTGGCTTGGTAACCTTCTCCACAAACTCTGCTTCTGTCAACCCGCAACCCTTGGGCTTGAAGAAGGGCTTCTTGCTGACAACCTTCCACAGGTTCAGAGTGGAGATGATGTCATCAAACAGAGCATGACTTGAGGTCATTGCACGAAGGAGAAGAGAGCATGTCCTAGAGCTCTCGTCGCCATCTTTTTCTGCCTTACTGGACCCACATGCAGCCTGGCATGGGGTTTGGATGTCTTTGAGCTTCGGGCATTTGGAAAAGTGCCCAATGGCTGCTGATACAGTTTTCGAGAGCTCTTGGCATTTTTCCGATA